TGCTAAATGTCTTTTAGAAACAGACATTTGAAAATTCTCTGTATATCAAGCACTTAAAGTATTCTGACCACAGGAAAAAGGTAAAAAATGGACACAAAAGAAAAATAATAAACATGCAAAATTACCAGCAAGAAGGACAAAAAATAATGTGACAACAAATTTATGGAATTTGCTTCCAAGGGCTAATACTCAGACTATGCGCCAAGCAAGACAGTGCCTGTCCCAGTTAAAAATAGCTCCTTTGTTTATGTATATAAGGGAAAAACCTGAGTCTCTAACTTGGAAATTTCGTTTCAAAGTCAAATTAAGTCATTTGCATTTAATATTGAAGAAGAAACAAGGTTTAGTTTATCACAATTTTGACCTATTTGAGACAGATATTTATTAAATATTTATTAAAATGTTTTAGCTTGAAATAATACTATAGGTACCAGGAAGAAAACAAATATGAGCAATTCAATTCTATACCTTCTGTTCAATAAAACTTGCTTCTCCATGGCAGGTGGTACAAAGAACTCTACCCAGGGGGTTAATCAAAATTCCCTTAGAATAATTGAAAAGCATCTGCATTTTTTCCCCAGAAACCACAAAAAAGTCACAGTAAGCAGAACACATAATCTTGATTATTAGCACTGAGCCTGTAGCAGCACAATGTGTTGTCCCCAGAAATTAAGTTACGAGACACCATGTCATTGTGTGATAGGCCAGAGATGTCTCCCTTAATGAGACTGGAAAACTCAGGGAAATCACAAGATAGACAGTGATGACAATAAGTCGCATGTGTGATGTTTGCTACTGTTGCGAAGCCAACTGCACATGGTGCCAAAGGCAATCATCCTCAGAGCAGGATGGGGGCTGGGGAGACCCTAGAGGTCACCGACCCCAACCTTTCATGGTACAACAAAGAAAACTAAGGTTTACGAATGTCACACCACCAGTTTAAAGCATTCTAGAGTTTAGAAATGAGCTCTCTCAGGGTTCTTTTCATGAAATAATTTTTCTGCATGGATATATATACTATAGAGGAAATATCCCAAGAAATGGAGATTCTGCAGAACTTTCTGAGAGCTACCCAGGAAACTCCACAGCGAAGTGCTATAACTAACCATCTGTGGAATTGCCTGACCAGAGTTTGGGGATGCTCAAAATTCTGATCAAAGTGGCCTGAATGTCAGGCCGTGGGAAGAACAGCAGTTCTCCATAGCTCGGGGCTGTGACGACTGAGTAGGTGGCTGAAGGCCCGGCCTCGCATGTCCATCTGCAGGACGATGGTGCACAGGGGCCCAAGGCACACAGAAGGGGCGGCACGGAGGTGCTGCTGGTGAGAAATGATTCACAGGTTTCTGCATGCCATAGGAACACTATGTCACCCTGTGCTCTGAATACCAGATAAGCCAGACCAGTGTGAAATTTTGCTTTCTGTTTACTTCGGAGGGCAGAATAATTCAGCCAATGTTCTGCAGTACAGACTTAAACAGTCCTCACCTCCAGCCAATAACATCATATTCTGACTTAGACAGCAGTCTTTGTGAGTTTAGTTATTATAGGAGAGTTGCCTTGGTTCTGGTTACTTCTAGGTTCTCTATTTATTATGTTTCAGAAAATGTTTCTGAATCTTATGATGGTGAGACTCACAGACCCAAAAAGCCTGCCCCTCTTAGGGCTAATTTCTAAACAGAGTGAAGAACTTGGGAACAAGACAACCACCTCTTTGATCTAATTCTCATGCAACAACCCAACACTGCCCCTGTCCTAAGTCAGCCCATGGCCACTTACCAGGCAATTAAGAGACCACCCCAAAGCCCACCAATGTTACTCAAATCAGCCAGTTCTGAGCTGCCTACCCTGCCCTGCCTTTTCCAAGGAGGTCCTAATAAAGGCTCCTGGCCACCCTCCGCCTTGCTCCCTGCTGTTCCCTAACCCACTCTGGATCTCTCCCTGTGGCCCTTTGAAGCAGGGCGTGTCTCTTCCTCTCTGGAAACGGAAGTAACAAATTCTTCTTTCAACAGCATTAACCTCTCCCTCTGGATACTCAGTCACCTCCATAAATTAAAATCCACTGGTACTTTTCTGGACAGCCTCCAAAGCCAACACCAGATCTGCACAATCACTGAGGGGCATACTGCGGACAGCAGGGGCCACCCATCAAAAGGGTCCACAGAGCTCCTGGCCCAACCTTGCTCACCTCCTCCAAGCTGGCCTTCCAGCTACAAGAGCTACCACTTTACGGAAAGCTCCTCTAGGCTGAGCCTGCCTGTGGAACACACGCAGAACGTATTCACTTATTTTTATCTTTGAAGTTGATAAACTGATACGACAATATCCAATCAACCTTCTGGTGGTATTAACTAAAGATACAATAAGAAAATTCTACTGGTGGGCAAGCTTGACTATTTTTTGAAAAGAAATTGAGACATAATCAAGAAACAGTCATTTTCAGAAATGAAAAATGCAGGTATATTTCATTGTATTGTGCTTCACTTTTTTGTAATTTGCAGGTAAGTTTTTTTTTTTTTTTTAAACAAATTAAAGGTTTGTGGTCCTGTGTTTATCAGCAGCAGTCTCCCACTGGTACGTGCTCACCTCATGGCTTTGTGTCCCATTTTGGTGACTCTTCAAACTTTCACATCATGAAAACTACTTTCATCCTATGTTTGGTGATTTGTGATCAGGGATCTTCTATATTACTACAGGATTTATTTGGGGGCATGTGAACTGTAACCACATAGTAAGAAGGTGAACTTAATGGGTATGTGTGTTCTGTCTGATCCACTGACTGCTCATTCCCTTAGCTCTCTCCCCTTCCTTTCTCTAAGACACAACAATATTAAAACCCTACAATGGCCTCTAAGTGTTCAGGTGAAAGGAAGAATCACATTCTTACTTTAAATCAAAAGCTGGAAATCATTAAACTTACTAGGGAAGGCAAGTCAAAAGCTGGCATAGGCTGAAAGTGAGGCTTCTTGTGCCAAACAGCCAAGTTATGAATAAAAAGTTCTTGAAGGAAATTAAAAGGCTTATTCCTCCAAGCATGGGAATGATAAGAATGTCAAACAGCCTTACTACTAATATGGAAAAAGTCTGAGTTGTCTGGGTAGAAGACAACATTCCCTTAAGCCAAAGCCTAATTCAGAGCAAGGCCCTAACTCTCTTTAATTCTGTGAAGGGTGAGAGAGGTGAGGGGGCTGCAGAGGATAAGTCTGAAGGTAGCTGAGGTTGGCTCATGAGGTTTAAGGAAAGAAATTGTCTAAATAATAAACACGAGGCAAAGCAGCAAGTGATGGAGAAGCTTAGCAAGTTATGCAGAAGATCAAGCTAAGATCACTAATGAAGAGGGCTGCACTGAACAACAGATTTTCAACATAGAAGAGACAGCTTTCTGCTGGAAGAAAATGTCATCCAGGACTTTCACAGCTAGAGAGACACCTGGCTTTGAAGCTTCTACGAACAGGCTGACTTTCTTGAGAAAGGCTAATGTGGCTGGTGATTTAACTTGAAGCCATTGCTCATTCATTTATCATTCTGAAAATCAATCCTAAGACGCTTCAGAAAATGCAAAATCTGCTCACCCTGTGCTCTAGACATGAAACAAAGCCTGAATGACAGCACAACTGCTTACAATATTTGTACTGAATATTTTAAGCCCACTTTTGAGACCTATTACTTCGAAAATAAGATTCCCTTCAAAATATTATCACTCATTGACAATGCACCTGGTCAACCAAGAGCCCTGATGGAGACATACAAGGAGATGAATGTTGCTGTCACACCTGCTAGCACAACACCCATACTGCGGCCCATAGATCAATGGGTTACCTCCACTTTAAAGTCTCATTGCTTTAGAAACACATCTCATGAGACTGTAGCTGCCATAGTTGAGGACTCCTGTGATGATCTGGGCAAAGAAAATTGAAAATCTTCTAGAAAGAATTCACTATTCAGACACCATTAAGAATATCTGTAGCTGGGCACGGTGGCTGACACCTGTATTCTTAGCACTCTGGGAGGCCAAGGTAGGTGGATTGCCTGAGCCCACAAGTTCGAAACCAGCCTGAGCCAGAATGAGACCTCATCTCTAAAAATACCTGGGCATTGTGGCAGGTACCTGTAGTCCCAGCTACTTGGGAGGCTGAGAAAAGAGAATCGCTTGAGCCCTAGAGTTTGAGGTTGCTGTGAGCTATAACACCACAGCACTCTAACAAGGGTGTCAAAGTGAGACTCTGTCTAAAAAAAAAAGAATATATTTTCACAGGGAAACACAAATATCAACATGAACATGTCAAAATATCAACATGAACAGAAATTTGAGAAATCTAGATTCCAACTGTCATGTGTCACTTTAAGGGGCTCAAGAGGTCACTGGAGGAAGTCACTGCAGATGTGATAGAAACTGCATAAGAACTAGAACTGGAAGTGAAGGCTGAAGATGTGGCTGAATTGCTGCCATCTCAGGATAAAATGAACAGATGAGCAAAGACAGTGGTTTGTTAAGACGGAATCTACTCGTGATGAAGATGGTATACACGTTGAAATGGCAAATAAGGATATTTATTCTCTTTCTCAACTTAGCTGAGAAAGCAGTGGCAGGCTTTGGAAGGACTGACTCCAATTTGGAAGTAAGTTCACTGTAGACAAAATGCTGTCCAAAAGCATGACATATTACAGAGAATCTTCATGAAAGGAGGACCTAGTTGATATGACAAGCTTTGTTACTGTCTTATTTTAAGAAATTGCCAGTCACCCCAACATTCAGCAACATTCCACCACCAAAAAGATTATGAATCATTGAAGGATCAGATGATTGTTAGTATCTGTGGCTCAGTGGGTAGGGTGCTGGCCCCATATACCGAGGGTGGTGGGTTCGAACCTGGCCCCCACCAAACTGCAACAACAACAACAAAAATAGCCAGGCGCTGCGGTGGAAGCCTATAGTCCAAGCTACTTGGGAGGCTGAGGCAAGAGAACCACCTAAGCCCAGGAGTTGGAGGTTGCTGTGAGCTATGATGCCGAGCACTCTACTGAGGGTGAGAAAGTGAGAAAGCATATTTTAGCAAAAAGGTATTTTAATTACACACTTAATAGTCTATACTCTACACTCTGGTGTGAACACAACTTTTATATATACACTGGAAAACCAAAAAATTCATGTGATTCTCTTTATTTCAATATTGCTTTATTACAGTAGTCTGAAACCAGACTTGCAAAATTTCAAAGGTATACCTGTAATATCCTTCTGATCATCACTTCAGACAGTGACAGAAATTTCATTCATAGGAACAGTATGTCAGTCATAATTCTGTGCAGTCAAAAGGTATGTACAGTCATCGATATTAGGACAAAATATTAAAATAACATATGATATACGTATCATATATATTTATGGGGCCTGGTTCTTTCTCCAATATGATTAAAATGCCTATAGCTCTTTCAAAGTACAAATTAAGGCTGGGGCAAGTGGTGGACTATCAATCCAGGGACAATTAAGAGTGAATATTCAGCCGGAAGAAACAAGAGTGTGGCGTGAGCATGGGGAAGCAAAAGAAAACCAGGCAGTGTGCAACCATGAAGCGAAGGCTTAGTCTCAGGGATCAGAGGCTTAAAGAAAAGGACAGATTGAAACCTAAAAAGAAGGAAAAGAAAGATCCCAGCACGTTAAAGGAAAGAGAAGTCCCCCAGCACCCTTCATGCTTATTCTACCAATATAATACACAACTGGGCCCACCTTACCACATCTTGGTTGATACCAACTTTATCAACTTTTCCATTAAAGCCAAACTGGACTTAGTGCAGTCAATGATGGACTGTCTGTATGCCAAGTGCATTCCTTGTATAACTGACTGTGTAATGGCTGAAATTGAGAAATTGGGGCAGAAGTATCGAGTGGCCCTCAGGATTGCCAAGGATCCAAGATTTGAACGATTACCATGCACGCACAAAGGAACCTATGCAGATGACTGCTTAGTACAGAGAGTGACTCAGCACAAGTGTTACATTGTGGCCACAGTTGACCGAGACCTTAAACGAAGAATCCGGAAAATCCCTGGAGTTCCTATCATGTATATTTCTAACCACAGATACAATATTGAACGGATGCCAGATGATTATGGAGCCCCTTGGTTCTAATTCTTATAAGACAATGTTCGTATGCCTTTCTTCAACCAACTTTCTCTGTTAACAATTTGTTCAACATGAAATACCATGAATTATTACTCTGTTCACCAGCTTGCTTTATTATGACCTGGAGGATGTAGGTTGAATACACTCATGTTTGGATGCTATTTTGAAAATGATATTTTATCTCATTGATGGTCAAAGATGCAAAATCTTATGAAGAATGCTTCATTCTTTTTTGAGTTCTGTTGCACAATATGGTAATTATAGTTAATATTAGAGTAAATTTCAAATGTCCTTACCACAAAAATGTTAAGTATTTGAGGTGATGGATATATTGACTAGTTTGATTTAATTATTCCACGTTGTATTCATAGATTATAACATCACTGTGTACTCCATAAGTTTATACAAGTATAAATCGTTGGTTTACAATAAAAATAAAATTGTTGAGTCTTTTTGTAAAAAAAAAAAAAAAGAGTGAATGTTCAGGGCAGCACCTGTGGCTCAAAGAGTAGGGCTCCAACCCCATATACCAGAGGTGGTGGGTTCAAACCCGGCCCCAGCCAGAAGAAAAAAAGAGTAAGTGTTCAGTCTTATGTATCTTCATGAAAGGGTGGGGAAATGGTCACAGATGTCTAAATGCCCTTACATAGTTACTATGGAGACCATGGAATCTCAGCCTTGGCACTGCTGACCTGTTCTGTTGGCTAATTTCGTTTACTGTAGGATGTTCAGCAGTGAGCATCTCTGGCCTCTACTCACTAGAGTCCAGGAGCAGCCCACCTACCACTTGCATAATCAAAATGTCTCCAGACATTGCCAAATGTCCCCTAGGGAGCAACACCACCCTTGCTTGAGAATCACTGGTCTAGACTTGCAAAACCACAACCTACACAAGACAATCACGTTTCAAAAATTACCTGTGTTATTCCTAACATCCTCCGAGGATGCCCAAAGTGCTAAAATAGGAGCATGCAGGGAAAGAGGCGTGAAAATACTCAGATAAGAACAATTAACCACTCAGAATACACTCAAGTATGAGCGCCACACCCTGGTCACCTTACATGTGATGGAGAAGAAAGCTTTTAAATCAAATATATCAAGTTGCAATTTTAATTCATTTTAATATCTAGGAAAATGACTTGGATACATATTATTAGCTTTTGTAAAAAAAGACCCCTCCAGGTGCCTAGCACAAGAGAAACTGCCTTGGGAAGCAGAGGAAGCTGGACCTTGGCCTTCTGATCCACTAGGTGGCTGGTCTCTAAGCTCAAACACAGAAGTGCTAGTTTTGACCAGCACTTGTCCACTTGTCAGTCAGGGACCACTGGAGTACCTAACTCCAAACTGCCCAGACACTTATTCGAAGGGAGCCATAATTTGTCACCAGATCTGGGTCTGGTCCTTCAGCGGCCCCACTGCTTAGAGCACCATGAGCACTGAGCACATATGGTCAGTTCGTAATGGAGGCACTACCTCCTCTATAACCTGGGGTCTACTGATGACCTTGAATGTGAGAATTCAACAAGATGGCAAACATATGGTGTCAGGCACACTATTGGCACTCAACAATGGTGCCCCTGACCACCACCCTTCTATTTTCTTGGGCAACTGAGAAAAGAAAGGTATGGTACAATCCCTCTTGGTTGCAGTGAACTATAAGGGCAATTGTTAGAACTTATACACTAATTAAGTATAACACCCCTAAATTAGGTAGGGATTCCATTTCAAACAAGGGCACTTTGCAGTGTCACTGTGTCCCCCAATTTGCGGTTAACACTGATACCTCAGGAATCACCTAAGCTGCTCTTCCCAGAGTCTTGACAATTCACACCACGCAGAACATGCTGGCTTGGGAAAGCTCCCTCTCAGGGACACATCCTGGAGGTATTGATTACTATGTGACTTCTCACATGCCTGGTCATCCAACCTGCCATACACTTCTTACACGGGGGGATGCCATTATTTGTATTAAATAGTTAAGCAATTAAATGGTAGCTCCAGAACAGAAAAGCACTTTCTCACAGACGTCATTATGAGGTGATGCTTATAATGCACATTGTTGGCATCTCACCAGGAAGGTTACAGGACTTTTACAAAATTAAAGCCAAATGAAAAGCAACGGCTTTTAGAGCATTTAACTGTGCACTTTCACTGTCTACCCAGACCACAGTGTCTCTGGCAAACAGTAAGAGTACATCTACTCAAACGGTAAAAAGGACCTGCATAAACACAAAGCAATTACACAAACCAGAATTTCCCTTAAATACCATGAATGGCCATCTGTGGCAGACCTGGTTTATGATCCAGTATGAGGAAGATGAAGAAAAAGTCTCTCACACCCTTCCGAACAGCTAACAGCTAAACATATTCCTAAAGCAAATCAAACACAGGGCCAGATAAAGTTTGTTATTTTCCTTGCAAAAGCTTCAGGCCACTATGTTTCATATTTGCTCTACAAAACATTGCACTTATTAGTGAGATGGAAAAGAAACTCTAAAACTTCAATTATTACATGTACCCTAGGCCAACAGCTCTTTTGTGTTGTTGTTGTTGTTGCAATTTGCCAGGGCCAGGTTCAAACCCGCCAACATCAGTATACGGGGCCAGTGCCCGCTCACTGAGCCACGGGCACCACCAGGCCAACAGCTCTTAACTGGGAACAATTTTGCTGCCACACCTCCCCCAACCCGTCCCCCTCAACCCAGCCCCCAGGGGGCCCTTGGCAATGTTCAGGGACAATTTTGGTTGTTGTACCTAGGGATGTGCTCTGGCATCCAGTTGGTGGACACCAAGGCTTCTGCTAAACATCCTATAAGGCACAGGACATCTCTAGAATAAAGAATGATCTGCTGAAACTGAAAAACCTGCTATGAGCCAAAAATAAAAATTATCACTGTCTACGGCAGTGATTTTCAACTGGCATGATCTGGCACACCAATGTGCCATGAGAGGATCTTAGGTGGCTGAGAAAATTTTTAAAGATCATTAATTAAATTACTTTCCAAAGAAGTTCAAAGCACAGTAAGTATATTCTTTTTTTACTCTTTATTTTGATCAACACAGTAATTTAAATGTGTGTGGAAGTTTAATATAGGTTCAAGTGGGCTATGAGATTAAAAAAAAAAAAAGGTTGCAAAACAGTGATCTATGGGTATAAGACTTCAAATAACTCAAGGTAGATCTCAGGAATTGTGCAGAAGATAAATAAACTTAATAGATACGGGTGATGACACTAGGGGTCTAATTATACTGTAGGTTCTATCACATTACTCTTTGTTTTAAAAATAATATGTATTATAAAAGTACACATTAAATTAGTGCAAATAATCAAATATTCATCTTAATTTATTTTTTTTCTTTTCTTTTCTTTTTTTTTAAGAGACAAAGTCTCCCTTTATCACCCTTGGTAGAAGGTGGTAGCATCACAGCTCACAGCAATCTCCAATTCCTGGACTTAGGCAATTCTCTTGCCTCAGCCTCCTGAGTAGCTGGGACTACAGGTGCCTGCCACAACGCCTGGCTATTTTTTTGTTGCAGTTTGGCCAGGGCTGGGTTCAAACCTGCCACCCTCAGTGTATGGGGCCGGCGCCCTACCCACTGAGCCACAGGCACCGCCCCATCTTATTTTCTTTTTAGGAGAAACATCTAGAACAGTGTTGCTATGCTTGACTTGTATTAATAAGACCAGTATTATAATATAATGTGTTTTGGTATCAATTCCCTAAACTAGATAGCAATTCTCCATTAACTGTCAAAATACATTCCGAATCCAAGACCCAGTGTATTTTAAGCTAATTTCTACAAAAGCAGACTCTAGACCTCTCATCAAACCTTGAAGATCAGCTTCTAAGGAAAGGGAACCTAGAAATTTGTAATTTCTTCAAGTTTTCCAGGTGATTCTTATGCATAATGAAGTTTGAGAACCACTGACTTAGACGTGGCTTCTGTAAGAGCAGCCATTTCCACCTCTTTCTTGCTTAAGTTAAAGAGCATCAAACAAATAATTCACAGGAATGGAAGATCAGTGCTATGCAGTGATACGTCACACTGGCTGGAAAAGGCCTGAAACATCACCCCTTTAAAATGAGGCTGGAATAAGAAGAAAATCTCAGAAGCACTGTCATAAAATATCCCAGCTCAGAAGTATTTTGCCTTTCCACATGAATGTATTTTAAGCAGCAACATTTAAACGCAAGGCACCAAATTCTTCCCTGGCCCACATTTGTTACTGGTGATCTTCATTATTCTTCGAGGAAACAGATTTCTTAAGCATCTTGTTCACAGGGTGCACATTCAAATATGTGTTTTATAGATAGCATTTAATGATAAATAATACATTAACTATGTTAAGAAGTCAAACCATAAAATGGACAAAAATTTGGCTTTTCAAATACAATGAAAGATTTTTCCTTCTGAATTTTTTGTAGACTAAACACCCAATTATAGACTCAATCAAGGTTAGAACGTCAGAGGATAACATGTCTCCATGCAAGCAAGAAAAGGGAGCAAATAATGCTGGGCAAAATGAAGCAAGGGAAAAGGGCTACCAGAAAAATGCAGCTATTGCGCCAAGTGCCTGTTATTTCAGGCGTTTTACAAACAGTTCCTTATGCAACACTTGCATATCCATGAAAGTAGATAATGTCTATTTTGCTGATGAGAAAATTAAGGACCAGAGACGTTACTCTGTTTAACTTCACCAAGCTGGTAGATGGGAGATCTGAGATTCAAATGCAAGAAGACAAGCTTTATTTATTATTTCCCCCCAATCCCTGCCCACTCCAATATTCATTAACATCCTGTTTCATGGACGTTTCCTGTGAACATGTAACTCATTGTCCCAATATTTCAAATTGACAAAATTCTAAAGAATAAGGTGCTCCATGGCTTACTCATCTAAGAATCAGAATGGAATCCAGTGAGGGAACACATGTGGAGGTATTCTAAACCTCTACAGCATGAGGTGGTGTAAGGCATTAAGTCAGCCACTGAAATGGACTTTGAGGATCTATGGCAGATGGCAACAGGATGTTTAGATATTACAAGATAATTAGAGATACCC